ATATATATAATTTGTGTAGAGAAGTTATTTAATTTAGTGGATTACTTAATTCTTGTGATTTCATAGTATTATGAATATGGAATGCTTGTTGTGCATTATTTGGAGTTAAATTGCTAACTTGCTACTATGTGTAGTAATAAGGAATTCTTGTGAATTATTGATATTATTTGCCTTGTAAACTCATTGCTAAAATGTTGTAGAATTGGTGTTTAAAGTTTACCATGGAGGCATGATTTAAATTGTCAAGTAGATGATATCATTTTATACATTATATCATAGTATAGACTTGACATTATGTTTGCCATTTAGCATAAGTGTTGCCCAAGTATTGACTCTAGAGGGGGGGTGAATAGAGTCTATGGCAAACAATGGCCAATTTTCAGTTTTGCAAATTTAACTAAAACCTTCTAACAATTATACAATAATCAATATATAGGCATAAGCAATTTATAGCATAAATGTAAAGGAGATAAGGGAAGAGAGATTTGTAAACATTCACATGGCGATTTTAGCGAGGTTCGGAAACTCCTACTCCTCGGCTCAAGACCCCTCTTGAGACTTCCCAATCCACTATGGCTTCTCCTTACAGGTGGAGAGCAAACATTTACATGAAGTAACACCTTACTTCACCTTACTAAAAGACAACCTCTCTTAGTCTTCTTTTGGGTCACACCAACCTTTACAAATTGAAGATCAAATTTGTTGCATACAAGTATCTCTCTCAAAGATTGATATGCAAATCAACGCTCACAACTTTCAACTCACTCTAGAGTATATATGAATATATTGAAGCTCAATACTCTATGAATGATATGGGATGAGAGAGTATGATATAAAATGAAGAACAAAAACTCTTTGGATGCTATATAATGTTTGTCAATGGTAGCAACACTTAATCCCGAAGTCCCCTTGCTCTATTTATAGAATTTCAGCATCTAATTCAAAAATAGAGCTGTTGTACACTCGATTTAAGGCAAAATAGCCATTCAAATTCGAATCTGCGCAGGTTCGGTCGACCTAAATGAAATGCCCTTGTGTTTCGGTCGTCCGAAATGACTTAAGGTTGGATATCATCCTCTCAGTATCTCTGTTTCGGTAGACCAAAGTGAAACCCTCACTTGTTTCGGTCGACCGAAATGATTTATGGATTTGAACATCACTCTCAGTACTTTTACTTCGGTAGACTGAAGTGAAACCCTTCTCTGTTTTGGTAGACCGAAATGGTTTAGGTTGGCCATGGTTCCTTATTTCGGTAGACCGAAATAGACCTGCTGCCTCATGAATTGTTCTAAGTTAACAAGTGAGACAGTGCACTACAGGACATCTGCACAGACCTTATTTCCATTGAAAACATTCATTTACTTTAAGTTTACAATGTAAATAAAGAAGTACCCCCCATTTGGATTCAATAAAAAATACTAGAAAATTGAAATCCAACTAAATCAAAATGTAGAAATTCAGTTTTAGTACAAATTTGGATTTCCGACAGTTTTGGTAAAAATGAATCCGCATGTAGACCAATGTAGACTTGGTCAAAAATTTTGATAAAATCAGTTTAGGCTAGTTTAAGTACAAGGAGTTATTACCGGGAAAAATTATTTTGAAATAATCATTATTTCAAAAATCCATTTTTCACACTTAGCAAAAAACACAGTTTTTCATGACGCGCATTTTGGGGTCCTAATGTCCGTTACCAACTCATGGTAATGAAGGCTTCTCATGCCTTAATTGTTGACCAATATGAATTATATGATTGCTATGCATGGTCTTAGCATTTCTAGCACAAGTGAAGAATTCTTTCAAAGCTTATGCAAGCTTGAACTAACTCTCTCTTTAGCAATGACTTCATGTGTCAATTGTATGTAAATGAAATGCATAGTCTATTGCTAATGGATATAGGAGCATATGAATGATGATATGATATGTATGGTCCTATAGAGATGAGCTTCAAATGGATTTATAAATACTTTAACATTGAATCCTAAACACTCACCATCCTATCTACCCTTTTCTTCAAGCTTTGTCCATGATCTTTAGGCTTTGAGGTAGACTTGTTTTCTTCCTTCATTTGAGTTGCTTTCTTGCTCATTGTAGTCCAAGCTATCTTTGGATGGACTTTGCATTTGGTTCTTTGCAACTTCATGTTCTTTTTGTCTCCTTTGTTTTCCAAAGATGTGATCTTGAGTAATGGAATACTTGGTATGATCTTTCGTGCTTCATTGAGGTCATCCTTTGAATTTGAATAATCTATAACACTCAATGTAAACATTAGTCCTCAAACACCATTAATGGTTTGTTATCATCAAAACCTCTGGATTGTCCTTGGATGGAATCCTTAAGGTCAACAATAAGGACTTAGGGTATGGCTTGTGTATTTTCAAAATTTGATTGTGCATGGTACTTGGTTAAGTGCTTTTGGTATATATGTATATACAATTGTTGCACTATTTGTTGATTTTGGAAACTTGGTATTGGTATTTGGTTAAGTGCTTTCGATATATATGCATATTCAATTATTGCACTATATGTTAATTTTGGAAACTTGGGATGTCATTTGTATGACTACGGCTAGGGCTTGTCTCTAGTACGGGGGATACGAGTTCCCTCTACCAGTTTAGTGCGCACATAGGTAAGGTTAACCATGGGCTAATAACCCAAAAATAACCCTATATCGGTCTGATCTGATTAGATGTCCAAGTATTTCCACTTTTGGTTGATTTCGTATTCTAAATTTCAAATTGATAACTTTAAGAATTAATATCTTGTTGCGGTGTGTTGGATGTTCCAATATTGTTTAATTGCATAAATATTGTGGTTTATGTTGAATGGTTCTAATGTAACTTATGAATGATCCTATAGGCTCATTTTGGACATAGACGTTAGATGGAATGCACCACATGTAACCATTCGTTTTACAATACAAGTTGATATAACCTAAGATTGTAATTTGTTTTGTCTTATGAAATCTTGCCATTATGATGGATTGTTTGCCTATTTTGAGTTGTTTCTAAATTGCTTCGATGATAACTTAGGATGATTCCTTAGTTCTCCCATTAAACATAAACGTTAGGGAGCATGAACCACATGTATTGGTTTATATTACATTGTAAAGGTTCGTTGAAACTTTAGGGTATACACATATGCATCTTCCTACGAGTAACTTTGGTTGCTCACCCTCGTTGTAGGGATATTTTTCAAGTGTGGAAACTTTGTTTTGGGATGCACAACATCCTTAGAATGGCTTGGTTCCATTATTGTGCTTTTGTGTAATTTTAAGTACATGCAAGTGTTAGCACAGTTACTTTTGCCCTGGAAATTGTAATGTTTATTTTGGTTCCATATGTCGCTTTTACTTTGAAACATGTAAACTGTACTTAGATACACTCTCTGAGATTTATTTTACATGTATGAGACGTGGCCAAGGGCCAAACACCATTTCGTTTACATTTATGTACCTTAATATTGTAATTTACCTTTAAAGGCAATATTATAAAATTTGAGGTTTTAGCATGTCGATTTCAATTCGGATTATGTAAAGTGTGCATAAACACACTCCTTATGACTCTTTATATATATATGACGTGTGGCTAAGGGCCAAAACGTCTTTTACTTTCACTTACGTTCTTTTGGTTTCATGTTTTTCTTATTAAGCAATATTCTGCAAATTTGAGGTTTAATAGGTTGTATTTTGCATTAGGAGTTTTTAAAGGTCGTAGACTATTATAACACACTCAAATAGGCATATTACGTTTGCGTGCATAGTCCTTTTTGCACACAACATCATTTGGCACAAAATGAGCACTTGAAGCAAATTACATTTTTAAGGTTTTATGAAGGGTATTTTGGAAATTTCCTTTGAAAAATAAGATTTTCCTTTTAACATGGTTAGTTAGAAAACATGATTTTAAGGGGGGTTTCTTCTCTGTGTTTTTCCAAAAAAGTTTGTTTTGATGCCGAAAATAGCTCTCTGTTCTGAATTTTCTGGTCTGAGTCTGCAGGTCTCGATGGATCCAAAAAAATTCTCGATGGATCCAAAAATTCTCGATGGATCGAAGAGTCCCTGATACTTGTTAAAATTTTGTTTTTACCCCAAAACTTCTAGGTAGTATATCTCCTTCATCCGGACTCCGAATCAGGCGATCTTGAGTCTAACTTTATTGATTTTTCGTTGTCTTTCCAATGGTGCGCGCGGTAGCACCCATTTCTGTTTTGAAAAGACTATTTTGCCCTTGGAGTTGTTTTCGTCTGTTTTTAAAACGTCGATTTCGCACTTCGTTTTCTTTTGTTTCCGTGACTCATGGGAAGTCACGTTGACGTCTCAGAGATGACGTACATCTCTAGAGATTTTGTTTCTGTTTCGCTTCCACATTCGGGATCCGTTATCGAATCAACTTTCGAGTCATCATAAGACACACTGGCTTGAAAAATCAACGCCATCACAAGTACTTTGACCAATCAAAAATTAACATTTGGGGTGTAAGTGAAATATTAAACCACTAATTCAAATAGAAGTAAAATTTAAAATCAAAATATTACCGCAGGTGAAATATGACCCAACCACATAAGGGTGTGAATGTAATTTGCCCTTCCATTTAAAACAAAAAATCTTATATCTTAATTTTTTATTTTATTTTTATTTTATTTTTATTTTTTTTGGAAAATGGAGTTTGTAATAAGAAATGATAAAATGTATTTTAATTTGAATCACTCTCTTCATTTGTATATTATGCAATGTTGTCTCAACTCACCCATAACTTGATAGCTTAATTCCTTATTTAAGTCTAAATAAATTAATGATTATTTAATTAAATGTATTAATAATGTAATTTAAATATTATTTTAAAGTGAGATGACCTTATATATCACATTAAAACGTTAAAACAAAAAGTATATATATAGAAAAATAAAATATCAATTTACAGATATCAGTTATGCTAACATCCACAATCATTTATTCTATCGCATTAATAATTAGGACCAGCTTTGTCACTGTTTTCTTTAAATAAAAAATAAAAATAGGAGTAAATTTTTATTATTTTATTTTCATTGTCTCTCCTATTAATTTTCCGATCATAATCACACACTCCAACAATCACACAGAGACACAGAGAAATGGAGAAGATTGTGACTTTGAGATCTTTGTATCGCTCGATCGGTTTCAGATCTCTGAGTTTTTCTGCCTCCGCCTCCGCCAACCAAAGCCACCTCCGCCATGGGCTCCGCTACTTGCATCTCTCTCCCTCTTCGCTCCCAACCTCTCCGAAACGCTTCCCTTCTGGTAATTTCCTCGTCATCATTCGTATATTTCTGCTTATGCATACATATTGTATATGAAGTATTTTGTTATCTGCGTAGTGACAACTTATTTCAAAACGCTTTGAGAACTACCGGTTAGGTTACAACGATGAAAAATCATATATGTTCGATTTGAAAACTTCAATTTGGGGCTCTTTTGCCTGATAGATTATTTGTCTGATTTGTTTATGTATGTATGCATTATGCTTCTCTTTTTTTTCAATTGTTGAATTTGACCTAAATTTTTCATGAACCTAACTTCCTGTTCTTCTTTTCTTTTCTTTTTTTAATTTTCTCGTTTTTTTTTTTTCATAATTCTCCAATTCTTTCACATGATACTGATATTAATGCACAATAATCACTCTCTACGGATCCTTACTTGATTCAATTTTATTAAATTCTTAAGCAGTACATGAATGGCATATTGTTGGTGTTGTGTTTGCGCTGCATAGGGGCAGTGCTTGATTGAGAAGTCCCAGTAGATGTGGAAAATTATGTGATAGAAGTATTTTCAATTAATTTTTTAAGCAGTCTTTACTATTTTGATCATTTTTTTTTATGTTCGATTTTGTTGGATTAATGAGGTGTGCTTTATTAGGACTAATTAAAGGAGAACCAATTAGTTGGGTTTTTGTGTGAATGTTCTCCATTGCACAAGAACTTACCAGGGTTGGGTTCAAGATGTGAGGGTTTCCCTTTAAAGAGGTCTTGGCTCAAAGATGATTACTCAGGCCAACACTAGAGGGATTCTTTCCGGTCGGTGATAGAAGGGTCACTGACTCACTGCCCACAAGTAGAGGCCGAACTGTATTTTCTTATTTGAGCGAGGCAGCATATGTCTTGGGCCAGTGAGAGTCTTGTGTTTAACATCATGCAGCCCCATTGCAAAACTCTCCCTGGTTTTTGTTTGTGTCCTAGCTTCAATGGATATCATTATACATAAACGCTTATAGAATTATAAGCGAGATATAGCTTTCCTGGTATTTATTAGTTCTATTTTTGCCACTTTAGATTGCCGGCCTTCTTTTGCAATGGGCATTGGAAGTAAACGCTATTTTAGCGAAGATGTGACCCACTTGCCTGACATAAAAGACCCCGAAATTCATATTGTCTTTAAAGACTTAATGGCTGCAAGTTGGGATGAGCTCCCAGATACTCTCATCCATGATGCGAAGAAGGCATTATCTAAAAATACTGACGACAAGGCTGGCCAAGAGGCCATGGCAAATGTGTTCCGTGCCGCTGAAGCTGCTGAGGAGTTTAGTGGGAAGCTTGTATCATTGAGGATGGAAATTGATGACTGCGTTGGATTGAGTGGCGAGGTAACACATATTTTATGAGAACAATATCTCAAGCTCTTGTTGTCATCTCAAGCTCTTGTTGTCTAATGATTCTGTTTACCTGTAGAATGTAAAGCCCTTGCCGGACAAATTTGTGAATGCACTACGTGTAGCCTATCAACGCTACACTGCATATTTGGATGCATTTGGTCCGGATGAGGTCTATCTGAAGAAGAAAGTTGAAACTGAGCTAGGAACAAAGATGATACACTTGAAGATGAGGTGCAGTAATCTTGGTTCCGAGTGGGGGAAGGTATATATGTGTATACATTTAATTTTTGTCACAATGCTTAGTTTTACAATGCATACTAATTCTGGTTCAGGGCAATATGTATAAATCACATGGACACATACATAGTATTTATTTTGTTTGTTTGACCTACTTGGGAGAAGAAGTAAAGATCAGTATCTTCATGGAATTCTTATTGTTGGATCTCTAGATAGCCCCTTTGTCACTTTTTATGGTTAGAAGGCTTCCTTCCCATCTTAAAAGATTTTAGCGAGTTGTTTCTGCATATGTAGTGCATGAGGATCGGTCTAGATCCTAAAATGCAGTTGCAACAGGGCAATTTGGGACTAGCTGGCAAAGTCACGCACTGCGCCATTGTGTAATGTAGCCCTGTAAGTGTTATTGTTTGAAGTCTTGAACCATTTGCTCTTTCAAATGCAGGTTACAGTTCTTGGGACATCTGGACTTTCTGGTTCTTATGTTGAACAAAGAGCATAGTTTTGGAAGGACAGCTAAGAGCATCGTATCTTCATGGTTTTTCCGCGTGTGGATCTTTATGCATTTCTGTTCCTCTTTTGGACAACCTACATATGCTTTCGGTTCTTATTCTGTCAAACATAATTTCAGATTGCTCTGATGCTTTCTGTTAGCAAGTTTTCGGGGATATTGGAAAACTTATGTAACAAAACTTCTTTGTTTTTTTTTACAAGGGATTGAAGTGTTCATTCCTCCATTTGATTTTCCTATAGTCTATTAAGACACAATCTGGTATAATTTTTTTCACTAAAGAAGGTTGATAATGTGATTCAACATGAATGCATGGGAAGGTAGGTAGGTAGCATCGGCCTTAAACACTTGTTAGCAATCGATCCCCTCTTTCTCTTGCACATCATAAAATTCTAATACAGAAAATAACATGTGGATTGAAAAACAGAATTGATTGATACATACCCATGGTACTAGAATTGAAAGTTGTTTTAAAAGGAAAATAGCTGGCATGACTAGGGTTTTTAAATCCAAACATGAACAATGACAATCCGAAGAAGATGATCCGGGAGCGTATAGTTCAATCCTCTGTGCGTCATAAGTTTTTGAATTCATCGTAGTATGATTCAGGGTTGATTCTGTGGTGGTGGATTTTGGTCTTACGCTTTTTTATGATCTATCCTCTGAAAGTGGTAAAAATGAATGTTGTGCTACAGATACTGGGCAAAGTATGGTAAATGTTATATTTGGTAAGTGTAAGCTTTCTACTGAATTATTACACCTTTTATTCTTGAACTTTATTTGCATACATGACTAGAAAATTGTAGCAACATCAATGCAACTTAACAATTCTACCATGTTTCCGCCATGTCCACGATTCGGACGGAGATTTGGGCAGAGGTGGAAGCAACAGAGCCTTCCGGCAGAGACCGAATGGCCACCCCTCACAGTGACGCAACTCCTGAATAATGGAGCGTCTCCGAAAATCTTGAAAATCAAGCCCGTTGAAGCTCAAACAGTTCCATAAATCTTGAAAATCAAGCCTGTTTAAGCTTGAACAGCGAGAGAAATTCGTCTTGACAGAGAAAAATGCCTCCATAGTTGTAGCACTCGAGCACCGGGATAAACAACTCTTAACAGACAAGAAGTCCTCTTTCCCTTCATCATCATCACCGTTCTCCTTCTGTTGAACTGCCTTTGGAGTTATAAAAAGATCTCCTGTTGTTGAAGAAAGAACCCAGCAAAAGCTATTATCCATTGTAAAGCTGGCTTTACGTCTCTCTTTTGCCTCCATGGCTCTACTCCGAATTTCGGAAACCACCACCTGAAAAACAAAAAAAAAGATCAAACACACAATAACAGCACCCAAAGTAACACAACACAAGTGGGATTGACTGAAGAATTTATTGAAACTCACTTCCTGTTCATTATCAATGTCGCTGCCCGGATCATCTTCTTCGGAGTTCGACCGTCGTCCGCCGAAAGAATGGCAGTTGGAAAAGGCATCCTTGAGGGCCAGGGTGAGGAATTTGTATTTCTTAGAGGAGGAATCTGGGGGCTCTTCATGATGATAAAACAAGCTCATGTTGCAGAGAGTAGGGTGGAGTTTTGCTGGTAGTTTTGTAAGTAAGTTTTGTAAGTCACAATGATATTATTAATGTAGAGAACATAACATATATAAGTCATGTTTGATTTGATTTTCATACTGAAAAATACTTGTGTGATAGTGGCCTCTCAGCTTATATCTTAATCCTCAATTTACTATCCTTTGGGGTAAAGACAAAGTCGAATAAGATATAGAAAATTTTAACAAATGGACCTCCAATTTCCTGACCCTTTGATACCGTCTGATGCTGAATCATCGGCCATGATTCGTTGTGAGGTCATTTAAGTTTGTTGATATGTGCATTTTTGTTATCTACTATGTTTTGTGACTTGTGACAAATTTGTAGTATTTTTTGAGTCTTAACTTTAATCTTAAGTTATGATGAAGTAGGACATTATACTTACCGTAAAAAATAAAGTAAAGTAAGACATGATACCAAACAATGACTGCTAGAACATATTTTTCTAGAAATGATATTCCTAACATGTAAGTTACTGTAACCCAGAATAGTATGGTAGCAGAGGATGCTCATTGAGCCCTTTATGTAGTTAAAATGAAAATGATATTGGTCCTTTTCCTTAATAGGACGTTTAATTTAGTTTTCTAAAAACAAATAAGACTTTTCATAGATTACAGAAGTTATAAATTTAAATAAGAAAGAAAAAAAATAACAGATGGGAAACCATTTTTTGAAACACAAAAAAAAAAAAAAAAAACTTGAAATTTTCATCTTTAATGATCCCTTAGGCAAGAAAGATGGAAGGTAAGATAGAAAACTATTGGCAACCAAATCTAAATAACAATAAATAATAACATAATAAAAATAATAATAATAAACTTTAAATTCTCCATTAGTATTTTTATTATTATTATTATAAAAATAAAAAAATAAAAATAGAAAAAGAACCACCATAATTTCTTTCAACTACAAGGACAATTGCCCTGTGACTAAAAAAACCTTAAGTTGTTGGGTGGTTTTGCTTATTTGCTCAAGACGTTTTCCATCCAAATTCGATATGGGATAAGAATCTCTAATGACTCTCCCATTTAAACTCGATGTGGGAAAAGAAAACTCGCAACGCTCTCGTCGCGATTAGATCACCCTGTCTATCTGCCTCTTCTAACAACCGAGTACGTTCTCGTTGTGGTCAGATAACCTTATCTATCTGCCCCTCCTAATAGCGAGAAGACTTGGTAACAACCCAGACCCGAATACTAACCAAATCAGTGAGCTTCTAACGTAACACCGAATCAAGAATTAAGTCTTAAATTATAACAAATCGAACACTTGCCATTCGTTAAGTTATAACGAATCGAACACTTGTCATCCAACCCAAAAGATTAAACTTTTGGATGATTGCCGACCGGCCCTTATAAGTCCAAGATCCTGCCCATCCAATCCAATGTGAAACAGTATATGCCATGGGCAAGAACCTCTCAACACTTGTCCAAAACAATTTATGCCCTCAAGAAGAAATGCGAAGTGATGGTAGGTGATAATCTTTTAGACCATAAAGCAAATCTTGAAATAGAACTAACATAAGAAAGGACAAAGTAAAACATGAAAATGAGAGTGGGTGTACCAACAAGTCACCTCCAGAGGTGAGAGAAATGAGAGATTGAAGCTTAGCAACAGCACGAATGAATAGCCTCGTCAAAAGCTTGAATGCAACCATGGCAGCTAACTCCACCTCAGAAGCTTTACCCGCGCGAATTGGGCATCTTATTGACACCATCCAATTTGCATCACAAAACCAACTCACAATAAGGCAAGCAATTGCAGAAGACTAACAAAGTAAGTTACAAGGAGGAAGCAAGTCACTGGAAGAGAGTTCATGAAACTGTAAATTTAAATATAGACCCTAACATTAAAAGGAACAATTGTAACGAGTCACTCTATTCCAGAAATACATAAATCAATTAAATTGCTTGGAGCAATGTGAAATAGTAGCCTCTCTGCACAAGCGCCTCCATACACAATGAACTAGTGGATAAACAACGAAAATGGCAGGTGAAAATATCTTCCAACTCAGATGATCGACCACCAGTTCCCCCAATCGATCATTCATGTTGAATGGAAGAGGAACCCCTTTGGAACCCTAAGTTCAATGCGTTTATCTGTCAATTGTGAAAGTTAATGCAAATGGCATATCCTGCTTCGTTGCTCTTTACTTTCTATTTCCATTTTTGTGCCTCGTATCGCCAGTGTTTCTATAATCCATATAGAATATCATGGATGGCAGATGATCAGCAAAAGGAAAAATCTTCTCAGATGTTATAGCTCTTCATCAATTGGAAGCCTAGCATCGGCATTTATCAATAAACGGATTTTCAGAGAACAAGATCCACAAGGAAGTACAACTGATGCCGGCAAAGCATCTGACTTCTGTAAAAAGATTTTACTCCCATCTCTCAACAAATAAAACCCCATCTCCCCCATCTCCAAAGAATCAATAGAGAAATAATCACCACATCGGCACTGGTAAAAGAGCTCCAAAACTTCACCGGCATCTTCAACCGTTATATCCTCTAAGCTGACATCTTCTGCAGCTGCTGCATCCTGTTGCAAAGCTTTCAGTTCACTATCATAAACTGCACGAGAACTTGAATTGCTGAGGATTTCCCAAGCTCTCTGTACCTCCAGAAATCTATCTCCCAGCTCATGGTCAGGATTGGAAGTCTCAGATGCCTTTTGCAGCTTATCTGGATGGGAATCAAGAATTGCAGACCGGTAGCTTGTACGGATTTCATCATAGCTTGCATCTTCCTTCACACCAAGAATGTCGTAGTGGGTTTTATGAATCGAGTTATTGCCAAAAAACATGGTTAAAGCTGCTTGTGTCAAGCCACTGCAGCTGCAAATGCCAAAACATATCCACATTAAGGTTTTTATTACATTTACATGAAGAAAACTTCACTAAAAGCATCACATCTCTAGATAAGGCATTAATGAGGACTGGAAAACTAGTAAAGTTGGTATAAAAATTTCCATAAAAATGTTCTCTTCTCTAATGATTACTGCTTGACTTTGTCTTGACAAGGTTTTAATCAACATTGTTTACAATTATTACTCTTAGTTGATGAGAAACTGTGCAGTAGGCGCATATAAGAGATTTACTAGTAGTACTACATGATTTTTAGATCATGGAATTGTAAACCATACATATACTACTCATATCTGACTCTCGTTCATTAGGGTAGCCTCCCTTACTCATTTGTTAAACTACCGTGGTGTTGGCTTAACTTGCAAAGCTTCCAGGGCATCTCTAACTCATTATGCTGCGACTGTAGCTAAAGCGAGTGCTTACCTTTCCGCTGGAACCCTCTCTCGGTTTTGTTTACAATATATACTACTCATATTTTTAATGCTCATAATTACATTTTCTAGAATGAATTAATGGCTTGTTATAACTTCTCAATGGAGTTCTGGCACATGATTTTACAGAAACATTGGCTAAGAAGGGAAAGTTCCACAAAGTAAGTATTCATATCACTAACACTCTTAATGATAGTTTACTAGCTCTAGCCCTGGTGATTTTGTATCAATAGCATGGCAGAAGAGAGAGGGACCAGCTGCAAAATGAGAGACGTTTCTAATCCCCGTTAGCAATAGCATATCTGAAACATTATAAATGGGATCATGGCATAGTCCAACGCACAATTAGGGCCACAGGGAGTACTCTGTACGGACGAAGTTTCTTACTGATTTTTAGGAAATTGTCCACTGTCACATACTTTGATTTATAATCTGGCTAGCATCCCTTCCAATTCCATTATTGGGCGTCTTGATTTGAATACTTTAATGCCACTTAAAAATGGCCCTGTGCCAGATATTAAGGAGTTAATTAGCATTTACTAGGCAGAGCTTTTATTTTCTGAAGTACTCAATGCTCTTTGTCAGATGGCTGAGAATCATATCGGTCATGAATTGAGTTCGTTGAAACTGGAATCATATTGATCATGAATTTTCTAGGATAGTATTAAAGATCTCATCGAAAACTTACAGCAGCTTGCCAAACAAAATCTAAGAGAAATAAGAGCACAGGAATGACTGGCATAACATTCACAATTCGATTTCAAAGAAAACAATATAAACGGAATGGGATACAGATTGACCGGCACAAAAGCCATCTCTATCAATCTACGCTAATGATGATGTAGATCGAACCATCTAGTTTCGTTTGAGGAGTTAATTAACATTTACTAGGCAGAGCTTTTATTTTCTGAAGTACTCAATGCTCTTTGTCAGATGGCTGAGAATCATATCGGTCATGAATTGAGTTCGTCGAAACTGGAATCATATTGATCATGAATTTTCTAGCATAGTATTAAAGATCTCATCAAAAACTTACAGCAGCTTGCCAAACAAAAGCTAAGAGAAATAAGAGCACAAGAATGACTGGCATAACATTCACAATTCGATTTCAAAGAAAACAATATAAACGGAATGGGATACAGATTGACCGGCACAAAAGCCATCTCTATCAATCTACGCTAATGATGATGTATATCGAACCATCTAGTTTCGTTTGTTTACCGTGGGACATGTCTCGTTTCAAGAATGATCAACTGGAATCCTATTTCCATTACACTTATTTCGATTCCTCCAGCAATAGTTCCACTGGTTTGGGTAATTGTATTGACAGGTTTCCCCATGGAAAGATTCATAGGCACCACAGCCGGAATGGTTCCCGCAACTTTCATAGTTGATCTTATCTCATTCTTAATGACTCTTCTTAGGGATTGGAAAGTTTACCATAGACTACTTTCTGGGGGAGAAAAGAGAAATCCACAATCTTATACAGAACTAAGATCACCTCAAGCACGATCTACAATTTCAACCTCTCAGCCTTCCAATATGACTTCCAGTCAAACCAGATTCTACTTTCAGATAGTTGTCATGTATCATCTTAAATTAAAATATGACGGCCATGCAAAGAAAGAGCAATATACAGTAAACATAAGGTAGGAGAATCCGCGCAAACTGTCAACAAGAATGAAAATTTCTATCACAACCTTATGAAAATCAAAATTACCATAAAGTTTTCTCATATCAGAACAAAATTACAATATCAATATCTGGAAAGCTTTAAACTACCTCAAGACCGAACACCAAGACTGTTACGGAAATGAAAGACACGAGTATGTGGTATCAAAATGGCTGCTGGGAACCCAACAAATCATGTGATGAACCAAATATCCTACTGAGACACCATAATGCCAATTTTGCACAAGGAACAACTAGTCTAATAGATTTAGTATAAATTGAAACGTTAAGAGATTTAATACCAAGCAAAACAGTTCCATCTCATTCAGTGAGATTCAGAATGAAGTAAAAAAGAAAAAATAAAAAGGATTTTTATTTAAGGAAGAAAAAAAATAAAAATAGCAGATGGCAGTCAAATTGCATCCTATTCATCCCATCAATGACTCTAAGACTCAAGAAATATATTAGAATAGAAAGTATGGCACCCAAAATTAAAGTAAATAATAAAAAAAAGTTTTTCCCTTGCTATTCTCACTTCAGCAACATTTAATTCTTATGAAACTTATTGGTCCAACACCATCCATTTATGTTGATCTTACAGAACTAGTGCAATAATTTTATTATCAAGTCTCAATTGCACAAACACTCTGGAAGTAAATCTTCACTAAATTAACCCCAAACTAATTCTGTAAGCAAATGTCCTCTACATATTTTTTGAAACAATATAAAAAGTCTTATATTTGAGATATACATAAAGATTGCAGCTTGTTATTATCAATATAATCATCCCCATCTTGAGAATTATGAGAATTAATATTTAGCAGAAGAACAGTGCATAAGGAAATACAACTGAATTCAAATATATATACACACACATATATATATCTAGGGTAACAACAACATAATCATAGATAACAAGAATAATCTACCGAAACAAACTGTGTACCTTCTTCAGTCGCCCTTCTCTTTGTTCGTAACCCTACTTGCTCAGACAGAGAAAGGGGTTCAATTCATTGGACGACCACTTTCAACAGAGCCAGATCCGATGTCCTTAACACGAAGGCATATATTTCTTTTCTCTCCCCTGATTTCTTTTTCTTTTTTCAAAATAATATCTTTATATAATAATTATGTCTTCATATATATATTTTTTATAAGTATGTCTTCATATATATATATATATATATATTATTGTTATTATCAAATATTAAAAATAGACAGAGTTCCCAATCATTTTTTTATAATACATTTTTTTATATAATATTATTTTTACCAATAAATATATGAAAACATAAACTTTCTCTAACTCTTAAACACTAGGTGCTATTTTTTTAATTCTATATATTCTTTCTTTCACAATTTATCCCCAACACAAACTCTTACTATATATCTAAAATTTAAAAAATTAGTATTATTATAACAATCATAATATAATTCTTATTTTTATTAGGAGTTTCTTATCATTTTTTATATTATTTTATTTTATCCAAAAAAAGTAAAAAATAAATAAAAAATCATTAGATACAAACTCTTCTTTTTCATTGAACACAACTCTTCTGTTTTTTTTTTTTCTCTCTCTTTTTAAAATAATATCTTTATTGTATAAAAACAATGCCTTCATAAATATATATATAAGGAATGTCTTCATATACATATACACATATCTGTATCTATCTATGTATATATCTATAAAGTACAATGAGTTTGATTTGTATTTATTTTTTAGAATTATTATACATTTTTAATAATATAAATTTACATTTACTATTCTATTCTATTTCTAACTCTTCCCTACCTTTAATAACAATTTACGCATTTTTAATAATGAGTTTCAGTATATTATTTTGCATTGTTTATAATATAAACTTATTTCAGTACATTATTTAGTGTTAGTACATGATTAAGTTTCAATATATTATTTATTTACTTATTATTTATGATATATTTTTAATAATATAAATTTAACTTTTCCATTCTATTCTCTTTCTAACTCTCCCCTAAATAATAACTTACCTATCTTTAATGATTAGTTTGAGTACATTATTTATTTATAATATAAATTTATTTCATTACATTATTGAGTTTTAGTACATTAATTAGTTTTAGTACGTTATTGATTTCGGTACATTATTTATTTATTTTTTATTTATATGCATTTTTTATAATATAAATTTACCTTTTCTATTCGATTCTTTGTCTAACTCTTCCATGAATAATAGTTTACCCATTTATAAAAATGAGTTTCAGTACATTATTTATTTATTTATAATACATTTTTATAATATAATTCATTTATATTATGCTATTTTTAAAAATACAAATAGTTTCATTATATTATTTATTTATTTTTATTTATAATGCATTTTTAAAAATACAAATTTATATTTTCTATTCCATTCTCTTTCTAACTCTTTTCTAAATATGAATTTACCTTCCGTTTTTTTTTTTTTTTTTAATTCTCTTTCCAACTCTTCTCATTATAATAATAATTTTTATATCAAGTAGTCAAGTACGTAGTACTAATAGACTTCTAAAGTGTCTAGATCATAATTAAATAATTATTGTTATAATAATGTTAATAGACTTCTCAACTCAATCTGCAAATCCAAGCTTCTGCGCTTCATAGTCCAATACTGCCTAAATAATATATTTTGTTTTTGTACAATATATATAAATATATATATATGTATGTATATGTATAAGTGATTATATTTATCCATATATACGCATCAACCATAAGAATGACATTAGATTTTGTTTGACGTGAAAGATGAAGTTGCTTCGAGGTCCATCATCGTTTCAGTATGCTGTTGTACCTGTAAATGTCTCACATGCTTATGTAAGTGGCATCTTTTCTCCGTACCTATTAGTACCACATCGGTTAAAGAGAGAAAAGTGGGAACAATCATAGGGCCACCATTCCTGGCCTCTAGCTTTTTGCTTGTGTATTACATTAAAGTCTTTAAGAGCGAATGGAAAGGGTGTTTTAAAGGTTTTGAGAGGTAAATAATTGAGTAGAGTTGGAAAATTATTCTTATTAGAATTTTTTTTATCCGATACTTGCTCATTTCATGGTTTTCGATTGTTCCTCCTTTTTTACTCTCCTCTCTTCCATAACCGCCAAGTATTTAAATTTTATTTGTTCTTTCCCCTCTTTTTTTTAATAATTAAGTATTATATAAAATATACATAAACATTTATGTGACAAATATATATTTATATAGAGTATATGTATACATTTATGTAAGTAAAAAAATTCAAGATGTGTAGCTTGGGGAATAGGTAGGAATTTTTTTTCCATATTTCAATAATATTAGACTAATGATAGGGAGCTGAAAAGCTCGAATTTGGATGTTGTTAGCCATATCTGCTTCTATTGTTTACATTCTAACATTTTTTATATATTTTTGTCTTTATATTTATTACATATCCTTCATTCTCTTTTTAAAATTTATCGATCTCATTCTCAAAATAATCTCACGTATTCTATTGCCACTGTATATGAGTTTATAAGTTCTTATTACACCTGTAAATCTTTCGTGTCCTTATTCTTTTTAAGGTTAATTTTACTAACACCCTCTCAAATTTGACCAAATATCATTCTGAAACAACTTTCAAAAATTACTATCATTTAGGTGCAATTTACTTTTCCGTCACTAACACCGTTAAAAACGTAGATTTGACCAAATATCATTCTGAAACAATTTTCGAAAATTACTATCACTTAAGTGCAATTTACTTTTCCGTCACTAACACCGTTCCTTATTTTTAAAATTCATTTTAAGATAAAATATCAACAAATTTAAAAAGACAAAATTGCCCCCAATAGTTTTTCTCTCTAAAATATATATGTGTATATATATATACACACACAAATATATATACAAATAGGCTCGGTGGCAACGATGACGATGGCGACGGTGATGGTGACGGAACTACTCCAAAGATAATGAAGACCAGCAACTATTCCGACGACGTTTTATCTGAAACAATCATTCCCACAAACAAAAACCCAAATCGACATCGACACTGTGAGCTAGAATTTTGGGGTGACTCCCATGAAGCCACAAGGCCACCGCGTAGAATCCTTCTTTGTCCCCTTTTTTCGGTGCCTCGAACACCTTTCAAGTTGCATAGAAGTTTGAGAGCAGTCAAAGGGTCTTGGTCCCAGGCTAACTGCAACCGGCGGTTTACTGCTTTCGAGGGTGTATCAGGAACCACATGGAAGAAGAAATCTAGACATGAATTTCCAGTGGATAGGAAAGTTGGGGAGAGGTTTTGTGTCAAACCCATATTTGGTTTTGGTGGTGGCTCCTTATTGTAACCGGAGACAATCAAATCCGTGAAGGGTTTGCTGATGGCTGGGGTCAGGGTGTAAATTTCTGGTGAATCGACTAGTGGAAATGGAAGGTCAGATTCCAAACTTTGACTGCTAAGATTAGACATGTAGCGCTTTATCAGTGGGGGACGAAATTTTGTATAGCAGATGTCTCTGAATCGAACACATCTGAGATTTGCTTGAAGCAACATTTTGATGTAGAATTAGAAACATATAAGAATCTGACATTAAAAAAAAATGGTTCATATTACGCCTTCACCTTCTTCTCTCTTCGCGACGTCGTTCCTTGCTGTCTGATCTCCGATCCACAACCTCTCATTTATCTATATATACATACACATAGTCATATATATATATATATATATATATATATATAGAGAGAGAGAGAGAGAGAGAGAGAGAGATTCACATGAAGAAGGAAAGGAGGTCAGGCCCAGATTTGCGACACCGCCGGCCAAACGAATCTCTTGTCACATTACGCTTACACTCTGAGGCCATGATCGGAGTGGACAAGCGATAGGCTCTATTTGCAATGGTTTGAAATTTGTTAATTCTTGGTCTCAATTTTTTCTTTTATTGAATGAGTTATGATTGATTGGTTTGTGTACTAGAGATTAATTACTCAATTGGTTTTTTTTTTTTTTTTTAATTCACAATTGGGTTATCTGATCTCCACAACCTCCACTGTCGGCGTGGGTGAAAGGGTTTGCAGACAATGTGAAGGAAAAAAGAAAAATGTGTGTGATAGATGAGTGGGTTGGTTTTTAAAATTACATAAATACCTATAATTTTATGAGGTGGTAGATTTTAGTGGGGTTAGTTTTGTACAATATCTTTTCCATATATATATATATATATATATATATATATATATAATATAATTGTAAATTGAAAAACATTTAGGGATAATTTAGTCTTTTAATCTAGTTTTGTAGATCAAAGAATTATTTTGACAAAGTCAAAGGATATTTTAGTTAATTTACATGGTGTCAGAACTTTGCATGTGATGGTTGGGGTGTGAGGAAAAAATGAAACAAACATTGGCAGTATGGATGATAGTAATTTTCGAAAGTTGTTTTACAGGGATATTTAGCCGAACCTCAGGGTGTCAGTGAAATTAACCCTTCTTTTTTTGTTGTTTTGTTTCTTTCAAGAAGACCAAGTTAATAAGCCACCGTGATAGATGAATAAACCCATTTTGATGAATTTTAAAGATTTGGGTTTATGTGTGAAAGAGAGATGATGATGGTTTTTTCCAAACGGTAGCCATGGTGGAGTAGGAACAAATTTGAAAGTATTTGAGATATTAAACAAATGAATGGTGGGGGTGATGTGAAGAACAAATAGATAGATAGAGAAGATAGAAAATCATATCAAATCTGAGAGAGAATTGCAAAGAGGGAAAAAAATGTGTTAGTGTTAATTTTTAGAGGGAGAGGGAAAAAAAGGATTGCACTGTAAAAGAAATTCAGACCCAAATCCGAGAAAGAGAAATGAATAGAATTTGAGGGAGAGAAATGAAGCCATAGAAACTTAGAGAGATAAAGTAAAAGATAAACATTAAGGATATACTTGTTATTTGTCAAACAATTATTTTTTGAAAACTGTTTGCTAAAAATATGTCAGATTCGGTGTTTATTCGGATTAATTCTTTGGTCTCCCTATCATTATTCATAATATTATTGTTTACTTTTAAAATACATGTACAAGTATAGAAAATTAAAATTAAAGCGTGTTTGCTAGACAACATTTAGAATTTATATATATATATAT